ATTGAGAGCAAAGTTGTATAAGATTCGTTTCCTCTTCAGGATTTAAGTGATCTGTTCTTAGGCGAGAGATAACATCTTTAACACGCGAATTGTTAGTAGTTTCAGAGTTTGCATACTTAACATCAAAAGCTTCGGTGTTAAATAACTCTGCTACTGCTGGGCGATCTAATGAAAATATAAGGTCATTGTTAGTTGGGTTCGTTACTTCTACTATACCGCGACTATCCTTATTATACGTGAGGCATTCGGAAATTATGCAGTTACAAATAGCTTGTTCGTTAACTATTACTTGTCCGTCGGCGGCGTTAATAGGTAATCGTATTAACTTTGATGATTTTGCCGGTATTATATCTTCGTAGAGATTTACGTTCCGCGAGTTATACATTCTAATAGGGTTCGTGGTAGTTCGTGTTGTCAGTAATAGGTCTTTTAAGTCTATGGTCGCTTCCCATTGAGTCAAAAGGTCTAGTCCAATCAGTCCGTCGAAATAGTCATGAAACTTATATACGAAAAATTTTATGTCTGTTTCGTCTCTAAACTCAGGAAAAGGAGGAATAGTTATTGAATGATCATTTCTACTGGTTCCATGTATATTAGATACTTCGAAGGGGTCATAATCAAGTTGTATGTGAGGATAAAAGTAGCTTACGGCTTCAGGGCTCAGAAAAGATTGATTGGCACCTGTATCTATTAATAATTTAAGAGGCGGATTGGCAATAAGAACATAGGGTAGCTGCCTCTGTGTTTGAAGGTTCAGTTCTATTTTAAGTTTTTTAATTTCCTGTCCTTCCGAAAATCCTGGTCTTCTGACTTAGAGGATGTAGAGGGCTGGTCTTGCTCCTCTACGTGGCTATACCACTCATCAGTTTGTGGTAGTTCCTCAACTTGATATTGGCATTGATTTGGATCATTATATTCATAAACATGGTAAGGCTCAGGCATATTATAGTAAGGGTCAGTGTCATAGTAGTCATTGTAATAGTAATTAGAATAGTCATCGTAAGGGGTACACTCGTTCACATTTACGTCTCGAGTTTTGAAATAATTTGATGGTGGTGGATTACCATGCTTAGTCCAATCGTGCCCAGTTGGGGGTAAAACTCGAGGCGTAAAGTGGCTTACTCCGCTCATAGGCTTAGGAATATTAGAATTAAAATTGAAATTAGGTCTAGGCGATATTCTAAACATGTTGCTTTGCGGGTTATAGTTATTAGGACGTGCACTGAACATCTGTTGAGTGCGCGTGGGCATACGCATGGGAGGTGGTGGCATGGGTTGTTGGAAGTGAGGTTTCTGCGGAAAATTGTTATTAAAGCGAGGGGGTGGAGCTTGCATGCTTGGGAATTTTACAGGGAAAGAAAACGGTTTCGGAACGGCATAAGCATTTTGCATTGGCATATGTACGGGAGGTCTATAATTAGACGCGTTCTGAACAGTCTTTGGTAAGGCTTCATTACGATTTTGCAAATACATGGTGTTTAACTCTTCTTGTACATATTCCAATGCCTTTTCGATTGTATCAGGACGCATGCACCTTATACGAGAACCTAAAGGTTCCTTAAGTCCGCGTACAAAAGCTTGCATCGTAAGCTTTTTATATAAGTCACGTTTTGCTTCAATTGTTGTAGGTATGGTTTCGTGTAAGGTGACGTACGTCATGATGGTAGAAAAGAGGGTTTGGCATTTATCGTAAAATTCTTGAGGGGTGTTGCTCCCCTGGGTCTGCACAGCTAGGTCGTTGTAGAGGGTGGTCTCATCCCTCTGGTCAGTGAAATTATTTACCAGCACATTTCTAATCCCATCCCAAGTCTCAGGAATTCCGTTGGAGTTTATTGTCCTAGCTGCGGGTCCCGTTATTTTATTAAGGATACCATTAATAATAAAAAGTTTGCCTATTTCGCCTGACTGGTCACTATAAGTTTCTACAATCTGGTCACATAATCTCACAAATCTCGTAAGCACGTTTGGGTTACCATCAAAATCTGGCACCAGGCGTAAGGCCTTTATAATAACATCAGGATCAGCCATTGTAACTTCGCTTATTGTACTATAGCTAAAACTACTCTCTAAGTCACTATCGATATTCCTATTTCTATCGATAATGGTTCGGGTAACCCTAGTATGCCTTAAAGCCTTAGGGGCCCTATTACTTCTTGGGTGAAAAATCTTGAAAAACTATTATAACTACGGGAAATAAGAAATTTAAGGACTAAAGGGAGAGCAACACTAGAGAAAAATCAGAGGTGTACTCACATAAACATATTATCTCGGTCTTTCTTGAGCTGCTATCAATTTTCGGATACTCCGGCGCAGGCCCGTTCGATATGCAGGATCCCGGTGATGACTTGAAAGTCTATCGTAGCGCGGCGCGAACCCGATTCCGTGATTCCCAATAGGCTACGCGACGACCCGGGAATCCTACCGACTGCGCCAATTACGTTAGCCACGACCGGAGGCCTCAAAAAAAAAACAATTTTATTTTACTAAAACTAACTTTAATTTCCGATACAAGGAAAATTATTACAATTAAAATATAATCTAATTATTTTAAGTCACGACTCGATCGATGTAAGAATCGAAGTGACGCTCCTCGTCCGGTCACGTAGCCCGCTGCGGTGGAGGCACGAGGCTCGTAGTCAGCAGTTTACGCCAGTTGCGTCAATTGCAGCGACCGATATGCGATCTTTCGCTGAATCAGCTTTTAGGGCCGTGTGCACTGTTTTGTGGGTGACTGCTAACTCGGCGTATTCCCTTCTACGTGGAATCGTAACATGTGTATTTCAGTAAAAATAACCAAATCAAAAACTCCATTTACAAGTTGCCGCGAAAACGTTTCTTTAGACAATATGGCGTATTACTAGTGTGTGACGTCACACGACTGTTATTAACACGTCAAACGATGCAATGAAATGTCACTTTAACCGGAACTTTACTTGCGTGTGACGTCATTTAGGCGAATCCCAAGCGTTTTGGGTCACGTGATAATAGATAAGAAAACTATTATCTTTTTCGTTAGTTTTTAGTGAAATTATGAATATTTATAGTGTAAAAATAGTAAAAACCCCTGCCAATATCCATTCTAAACACAGATGCTAACAATTGGTACTTTATTTTTAAAACTGTCAAATACTCTATTCACTCTAGAAACAATAGTTTCAAGTGAGGGACAGTGTAACAAAGCATACCGTGCCATATAACAAAACAATTATATTTGTACTATACCCGGCAATTTGACATCTGATGTCAGATGCTTAAGATGGCGGCTTATGAAACCAATAAAACACGTCAAGACACACCATAGACAAATAAGAAATTTTTTTATATGCGGCCGCGCGCATATGCGGTTCACATGCGATTGGTTTGCTTGGTTGCCCACCGGTGTTGATTTTATTCACACTTTAAAAGCGATTAATTACGCGATTAATTAGTGGTCGCTTGCTGACCGAATACTGAATTTAAGGGTGTTTTGTCAGAGAGTACACTTCTATTAATCATTGTATGTTTGTAACAAGTGCTTTGTGGTGTGTGTATGTTATTATGTTTTTTATTTTTAGAATTTAACTTCTAGTTTTATTATATCCGCCCGGATTGCGGAAGGTGCAGGTGCTAGGCCTGTCTGAAAACTGACCATATGGTTTTTAGTAAAATTATTCCTTGTGTGTGTATCCTGTATTAAAAAAACCTTAAGTCTTCTATTGTCACTGACGCATGTTGCAGCGTTTACTGAGTAACGACCATTTTGGTTATAATAATTTTGTATGCCTATGTATTGTATATATATTGAAATATATTGTTTTTATAACCAATAAACTTGTTTGATTTGATTTTATTTGAAAAGGGCAGTGACATTCCTTATGTTACACTGTGCCCCTTGTTACACTTGCCCCCCACTTGACACTAACAATTGAAAGTACACTTACAGCTGCATTCAGGAACGTCAAACTAAAAATTAAATAAATAGCTCATTTAACTATGTGTTATCATTTTGTTACCTTTTTTATTATTTTGTTATCGCAAAGGAATTGCAGCAACAAATTTTCTAGGACCTAAAAGTTAATTGGGTCCGCCCGTTATGCACCCATCGTGAAAGACAACATTGTTAGTGCACTATGGGTGCGTCCCGGTCGGGGGCGTCGTCGAATGGGTGCGTAACGGCCGGGCTCAGTTAATTGACCTTTCTGAGCGCGGCCGTAAGTACCTAGCTTATAGTTAATACCCAATCAAGTAAACTTTTGTGTACTCTGCCAATGAGTCTTAAATGGCACCAATGACTGACAATAACCAATGATCTACACCCCTTTCTGTGATCAATGATCAATGTAGTCGATCACAAAATATGGCTATAATACCGAGCTATTGATGCTCAGTGTAACTCTATTTAATGATTAATTACCCTCTTATTTTCATTAATCACAGATAAAAATATCGATCACTGGCTCCTGTCAGTCATTGTGGCCACTAGCTTTTCTCTTACAGTCTTTGGAACAGTTCTCTGACCTTAAGTTAAATATGACAGCAGTCTCTCCTTTTCATTATTAAATTTACTTGAAGGTTTAGAGAATCATACCAGAATAAGGTCCATTAAATGGTAAATTTAAATTTATAAGCGTTATCGTTCAAATGAAACAGAAAGACCGCCGAAAGTAGTTCGCTACCCCTGATATAGGCTATGACTGATGTACGGGCAACTTGCTAGACAACTTATCGGTCTAGTATCATGTGAATCTTTGACATTTTAATATTTAATTTCGCATTTTTCACTTGTTCCAATAAAATAATTTGGCGTCATTTTAATTTTACAAGTAAAATGACGCCAAATTATTACGTCAAATGTTTTTAAGCAAACGTTTCATTTAGATAAATGTTAAACAATAACTGGCCAGAAAAGATTTGCTGACTTACAAATTGACTGCTAGATATTTAAATCTAAATAAAATAATTCTACGAAAAAATCCACTCGGTCTAGCTTTCAGACGGGATTCGATCTTCCGCATCCCGCATCTTCCGCAATCGGTCTGAAGCACTTATCAAATGCGATAAGTCGTTTTGTGAAATGGTTTTTTTTGTCTAAAATTTTTAGACTAGTTTGCAATATGATATTTTGAAAAACGCTTATTACCCTATAACTCGACGTGACGTGCATATGGTCGGATGTCCGATTTATCGACTTTTCAGGAGATACAAATTAAAACTGTTAAGAAATTTCAAATCAATAACAGTATGTAGCATGTCAAAAAGCTTTCCTTTTTCCAGGGATCTGGATTGTTTATGTAAAGAAATGGTTAAAAAAACTCTCCTACACATTTCAGGGAAATGGCACAAACAATTATCTTAATAGATATGGGATAGGAATAGAAGGTTTACAATAGGTTATATGACTTACAAATAAAATAAAAACTGATGTTAAATGTGAAACTTTACTCCTCGATTAAATTTAGTAATTTTGCGACATACGACCTTATGCTACTCGAAAACCTAAACAAGGAAAAGTGATGGAAACATGATTGTTGGCGAAAGAGCTAATTTTGCCTGTCTAAAAAGTTATTTTTGTCTGATGTAAACATAAGACCTTATGCGTCTCACGTCGAGTAACTAAATTAATATAGTAACTAAACTAAATTATCAGCCAGGCCACATGATCAACCTTATCATACAGAGAAAAAACACAACGTTAAATTAACAGTTCAGATTAAAAAATAAACACTGAAAAGGTCCTAAGATATAATCATTATATTTATTTAAAGATACAATCAGGATTGACCCAACGCTAGAGCGTGACGGAGCAAAGATAAAAAAGATAATTTAATATACGTTTTCAACAGTACCATAGAGTAAATACACTTTTCTAAAATACTTTTAAAGCTCGATCTCCCCTATAGGGGTAGTTGAGGTCTATGCAAATTTTTGCTTCAGTCAACACTTATTCAACACTGTTTTTTATCTAATTTGTTCTTCCTAAAAAGGCCTTAAAAAGATAGCAGTGGCACTCCGGTAGTGCTGACAGAAGTGGAAACTCAAATTTATAAAAAAAAAACTAAGCAAAATGTTAACAAAAAAAAAACAAATTATGTGCCTGTCAGGTTTGAACTCAAGACCGCTTGCTAACGTTATTAAAAAACCCTTAAAAAGTATTTTATGAAGTATAATAAAATTTTCAATATAAAGGTATGGATTCAACTAAAACGATATACAAAATGTACATATTCTAACGCTTTTACAATACAAATATAGTGCTTTAAAATTTTCTTTCTTATTATGATTATGACTTCGATTTATTGATGCTTTTTTGGTCGCTTTTATATTAATTTTTAATCAAATTTAGAGTTTGCACAGACCTCAAAACCTTTGTTCCTATCTAAAACTTAAGGGCTCTCTCTCAATAGTAGTTTTATAGAAAGAGATACAAGATAACACACAATTTATTATATATCTACATAACACTCCGAGAAATGGAAACACATTCTAAAGATAAAATATGTATGTGTGTGTCACTGGATACTGTCAATAGACTTTGAATTATGTAAATATTTAATTGATTTATGTAAATTTCACAGATTACACTCGACTAGTTGAAGTTTAGACTTTAGATTTGCATAATATTTGAAAAATCGTAACAAAGGAAACAAGTTGCTTATCTTAACTTACCTAACCATGTGAATTTATGGATTATTTCATAATTACTCTTTCAATAATATCTTCAAAGCTTTTACCCCGTAAAATTTCTATGGATTTTGCGCCAAAACCTTCTTTATAATAAGCATCAGAATTCAAACAAACTGGTATACTTATTTTCATATTCAGATGCAAATGTGTTGCCATCAAACTCCGTAGGGTTTATCATAGAGAATAATTATCAACATTACTTTTTAACATGCGGTGTTAGGTTGATGTTATGAATAAAAATAAATTGTTTACCTAAATGAAAACAATAATAATTAAAATAAAATGTGCAAACATTTTACATTTTATTCTTATTAAGTAAGAAATAAAAAATGTGTTAAGGTTATTGATAAACATTTGATTATTGATAAACATTTGGCCGCCATGGTTGTCACTATTCCAATGTGAAGAAATAAATTTGGTGACTCATATCTTTGTCGCACTATCCGCAAATGATTTGCCCGCTCACGTGTTCCCTCCTTTCTACAACCCGGGATCCTTTAAAAGATGGCTGGTGTTGCAGGTAAGACTGCTGTACCAGCTATCTTAGCGTATGGACTCCACCGTTGCTAATACCAGGGCCCTGTTTCACCAAAACGACATACCTCACCAACATATGACATAAAAATGACAAGTATTTAATTATAATTGAGGAGCTGGCGAACAAACGGTATAATTAAGCATCTGTTCAAACTACTTTGTTTACAGTCCGGAGGTATTGGGCCGGCTGAATTTGAATCTCAACGAGTTGAGATTTAATCAAATAATCTAAATATTTATGTATTAAAAACATGCAACACGCACACACGAGGAGCTCGATGGCGCCAGTGGTAAGCGCGTTCGGCTGCGGTCGTTGAAGTTGAGCAACTTTCGCAGTGGTCGGTCATTGGATGGGTGACTAAAAATTTACTATCTCGAGCTCCTCCGTGCTTCGGAAGGCATGTTAAGCCGTTGGTCCCGGCTGCATCTGCACTCGTTAGCACCCACCAACCCGCACTGGGCCCGCGTGGTGGGTCATAGCCCAATTTCCCTAATCCATCCATAGGGAAGGCCTGTGCCCCAGCAGGGAGGACATTAACAGGCTGATGATGATGATGATGATGAAAAACACGCTAAAACCTCACTGTATGTATGCTATTCAGTTTTCACAGCTCCTGTAAAATTTAATATCATGTAATTATATCGTGTTGTTCGCCAGCTCTCCTCCATTGTCAATTTCCCGTATCTTACTTCAACGACAGTTTTGTTGTAAAACAAGTCGACATAATTTTAGTGCTAAAAAGGACAGTAATTCTTGTAATGAAATTGTAGTGTTTTCTTAGTTAGTTACAAAATGGTTGTCCGCAAAAGCTTGAGAAGATGAGTCCTTATATTTATAGGAGAATTTATAAAGAACGAATTAATTTCTCCATTGATATCACTGATTTTGAGATTAGAGTTTTTTTTTATATATTAGATAACCCCACAATAAATCGTCAGCTTACATATTATGCCAGCAACATAAATGTTGGTTTGGTGAAACAGGACCCATGTGGGCTGGAGTCATTTTTTGTCGAACCTATTCATGTATAAAAAATTACTTTACTGGCCAACAGTATGTGAAATCCCTTTTTTTATAAAACAATTTAAGAAAATCCTTTTTTTTTCAGTAATCTAGTGACTCACACAAAACATTAAGAAACAACATGTAAAAGTCTTAGAAAGTTTTTTGTTACGTTAGAAAAATATAATTAGTGTATATTATATATAGTATATTCAATAGTAATACAAGATATACAACACTAATATACCTTATCAGCTTACGAGCTAACCAAGCGTATTTTTATTTATTTTACCTTAATTAATACTGACATTTATATTTTGTATTCTATATCATTGACTTTTAAGAGCTTTTGACAGAAGAGACTTATAATATTAAATATTTTGAACTAATTACGTAAATTAATATTTTAGTTGGGTTGTATAAATATAGTCACTCATATTTTGAAGTAAAATAAAAAAAGTAGTCGCGTCAGACCTGGCAGATGTGAAAATAGTTTCTTTTTTAATAAAAGAATGAAGACGTTTAGTTGAACGAAAAGTATGTTGGAGCCTAAGGATCGAACTAAAATTTTAACTTGCTGATCTTTTTAAGTTACTATTAGACTCCCCCAGACATAAAAATGTAGCCAAATGTAAAGCAAATAATTTTATTATTTATGATAAATTCATTGCCAAATAAAACTTTTATCGCATATTTAGCTTGTGTGTAAATAAATGCAATGATTTCACAATCATGATGTCGATTTTCCTTTCACAAAAGTGTAAACGTTTAAAAAATCTATTAAATAAACTCATAAAATATTGCAACCAAAATTTTTCATAATAAGTTTCATTCAAATTCTAGTAAGTTTTTAAGCCTCTAAGGTTACTAAGTGATTTAAGCTTAAGGGATTACATACTTTGAGTTCTATTACACAAACAATATTTCAGACTTTACTAGATAATTAAAAAATACATAGAACTTTCGTAAATAATGACACAATGATTTAATAATAATAATAAAACGAAGTACTGAACTTATTTACCGCCATTTAGGATCCAGGGTAACGTAAATTTTTAATACAAAAAGGTGCTGGAATTGGCCATTATGCCAAGAGCAGCGCCAACTTTTGGTAATAACAGCGCTTACAGAGTAAAAATTTAGATATAATAAAAAATAGAAAGCCCTCTAGAAAACTAATAATGTAACTTGATTGATTGCCAAAGTTTAACTCTTGAAATTTATTTCTGAGGTAACAGAGTCTATTTGACTTGATACTGTTTGAGTAATGAAGATTTGCCTTTCCGCTTAAGACTCTCAAAGTTTGACTTACGAAAGGCTTTAAACATTTCTCACAACAAATTGGGTAATGAAACTGAACTTGGCTTATTATACTCCTCCTTTGCTTTTGGATGATTGATTTTCCAAAAACCTTTTGTTTTATTGTTTTGGGAGATTTGTGATTTAATAAGAAATTGCTAATCGTTTTATTGGTATTTTAAGAAAAAAAACAGAAGAACTTATAATGTAATCGCTTATATACCCAACTCTTAGGCCCGTATTACAGAATGACAACTAAATGTTGATCTTTACTTGAGCACAGTTAGAAAGGGATGTCGCTATGTGCTATATATAGCGACATCCCTTTCTCTGACGCTCAAGACTAGATCAATTACTGATAATCTTTCTATAATACGGGCCTAAGACAAATTGACAATCAATAAACATGACTCATGAAAAGTATGTAATACAAAACATAGATATATTTTTGTTCCGAGCTAAGTGAAAAATATTCAGCAGTTGATGTAATTTGTGAGAAAAATCTTGATAGCGACATTTTTAATAATTACGAAATTAAAAATTAACAAAGTTTTCTTTTAAAGCAAATAATAAAAAGTCATTTTTATTTAAAAAACTGCTATGAATTTCAATACGATATATTTTAAATACAGATTATTTTTATCATATCTACATATAAAACTACAAGTATAGTCACAACAGTAACAAAATACCAACTTCCTTAAAAGGGAAATAACACAAGAAGAAAAATAGTATTTTTCCTAAATCATTACGTTCCAAGTCTTAGAATATGCTTAGAAATTACTACATTTAAAATAACATTTTTCTTTGTTACAATTTCTTAATTCACAGATAAGTTACCGGGAGCACAGAATATTACAAGACGTGGAGATTTTCACAAGACTTGGATTTGGAGATGTCATTAATACAAATCTTCTGTAGCAGTTCCCTGGCGATGCTCAATGAAATGTGCGTGCGGGAGCTAGCCAATTTCGACGGCTTCGGTTCCTGTTGAGAAAGTAATAAACTAAATTTCACCAACAAACAACTTTCCATGAAATTTGATGCTCAAGATATGATCCCAAGTATAATACGAAAAGACTCAATTCTAAGTTAAATTGGAAACGAAACTCCCAAACTTGAAGGACCATGAATTGTTTCGGTTGACAACGAAGCAAATATTGTTGGAATTGTATATGAAAACCACTTTGCGGGAGTAAATAGTTGCAAAGTGAAAATGGAAACTCAAGTCCATATTTCCTTTCTCAGAATCTTGGTTCTGCGCATATTTGTAGGCAGCTCACGTAGGAGCTATTACGCAACCGGTGGGAAAAGAACTTTTATTCTCTCCAACTCGATATAAATTCAATAATGTACCAAGGGCCTTGGCTGGGGTGATTTTTCTTTAAGGCCAGTCTTTTTCAAAGTGGGTGATTACGCCTTCTTGTGACTACAGGGGGGTGTTAGAGTTCGTGAAATATTTCCAACACTCACACCAATTAGCCTAGCCCCAAAGAAAGAACTGTTGGCTTGTATTATGGGATACTAGGGTAACGGATAGAATAAATATACTGATACATATATAAGTATATTTATATAGAAATACATCTTAAACATCCATGACTGGAGTACAAATGCTCGTATTGATCACACAAACACCTGCCCCCACCGGGATTGCAACCTGGACCTCTAGAGTAGGCGACACCATGTAACCCGGCGTACATACCACTCAGTCACGGAGGTCGTCAAATGAAAGTTGAAAATGGAATGTTTTGTGTATATTTTGAAATCTTAACTAAAATAAAGACCACATGGTACTTAAAATGCTATATATTTTATATCATGCTTAACAGCTTTTTAGAATTTTGTTAAATGTATTTTTGGGGTGTAAAATTATTTATTGCTAACATAAACGGTACGGTGGGCGGTAAGCTTGATAAGTTTGAGAACCTCTGCCTCAGACAAATACGTAGACGAGATAGACTTTTTTTTAGCAAATCAAATACCTAAATGTATTTCTATAACTTTCGATGGAGATATCACAAGTTATTTAACTTTTTAATTTAAGAAATATGAGAAAGAATTAATTTCTATAGGTACTCTATTTTCATTTCTAAAAACATTTGATTAGCTGTTAAATTGAAGTTTGCTGTTACATCTACAAATATTTGATTTTCTAAAAAAAATATAAAATAATGTAGGTACCTACCTCCTCCCGGGGGCATCCCGGTGTAATGGTGCACACAGGCGCCGATCCCGAGACGCCCCCCTCGAGGGCGTAGTTTTTTAAAAAAATAACAAGAGGTACCTACCGCCTACATATAGAAAATCTCTTAATCCCTAAATCATTTGATGATGAATGAATATCGATGCTTGTACTTACATATCTGTATTCAGTACGATATTTATTGATTTTGAAGAACTTGTACACAAGCATTGAATGTATTAAGAAAATTAGGAAACGATATTTAATCAAGTGAGCTAGCGTAACAAGGGGGACAGTGTAACAAAAAAAGAACAAAAGCAATATCTCTGTATCATGGAGGTTAGAGAAAAGGAAAACGATCACTACGTACTAATTAGCCTGCCTGACCCTGAAAATTTGTAGAATTTATAGTTCATTTTTCAGCCACCAGCCGCGCTGCCGTCGGTAAATAGTGTCTAATCTGTGAAGTTAGCTGTTTATGAGTAGAGTCTGTGCGGAAAGAGAATGGGCGTGGCAAAAAACAGAACTAACTTCAAAGTTTTGTATTGATACGGATTTGTTTGTTGTTGTGATTTCTTGCGGTTTTTTGTATTTAATCATTTCTAAAAGGGGTAAAACCTTAAAAATACGGTAGATAAGCACTACAGCGCCCTCCAAACAAAATCCCATTCACTTTCCGCACATACTCTACAAGTAGATGAAATTAGTTGAATATTGTACAAATTTTCTTCGCAGCATTGGTCATTTCAAATTAGCCCGCTTTTATTGAGACAACTTAGCGATCGCAGCGCCTCACTTATTTTGTCCATATTTTTGGGTCACTATTTTCTACAGCGATCATTCTCCTTATCTCTGACCTCCATAGTCTGAAATATACTCGGCTATTTGACGTTTGATGACAGCTGCTTAAGATGGCGGCATATAAAATTAACACATCAAGATAGACCATAGACAAATAAGAAAGGGGCAGGTAATATTCCTTGTTACACAGTGCCCCTTGTTATACTTGCCCCTACCTAAATAAGGAATACGTACCTGTTTTCCCACTTTTTTTGCTTGTTTCTTCTCCCGGTTCTCTTTGAGCCGTATCTGCTTTAGAATTCCTACTAGAAGCTCGTCCACGTTATGCTGGATACCTGAAGATGTTTCTATGAACTTGGATTCTTTTGTCGTGGCTAATGCCTTGCCCTCTACATAACAAAAACATTAACATTGAATATCATTAACAGTGAGCTTATGCTTCCTACGCGATGAAGTTTTGGTAATAAAATGCGCTAAAATTAACGTTCAGAATTCCGAATTAGTTCCAGCGTTAATACGCTCCCCTAGCTGCACATACAAAATTTATAGTCCCCCACAGATAGAAATGAATTCAAATGTCAAACGCTAATTTAAGTTTATTTAGTCGTAAGGAGTAAGCTTCGTATAAAGTAAAAAAACTTTAAATCTAAGGCGCAGTATAAACGAAATTGAACATTCTCCTTTTCTTTCTTTACCTCTTAAGATAGATAGATAACACTTTATTGTGCACACCACATTAAATATTAGACACTAGGAAAAAACTGAATATAGTGAACAATTGGCGTTCTTATCGCTATATGCCCATTTCTTTCAGTTCAGACAACTGACCAGATGAAGAGGCGAAATTTAATAAAAGAGGGAGTTTATCATGTCTTTATCTAGCTTATTTTGTACACAACCCAACGTTTGATACACATAAAATTTACGACTAGGGATGTCATACATTTATTGCTTATTTTTAATAACTGAGATAAGTACAAACGAATAGAAAGAATCCAATGCCACTTGTCAAAGATTAAATACACAAAGCATAAGAAAACATAAAGTTGAACCGCGAGTTTGCACGATCAAAACTCTCGCGAATACGAGTGATGGGTAAATTAAAGAAGAATTTATTTAGTGCTCCCACACATAACTGCGATTTCGCATCGCATCGCAAATATCTGCGAATTCGTACGTATGCATTCTAGTCCGTTCTGAGATTTCCTTTGTACGATCTATTCTATAGACATGGTGATTATAAACTCAAAAGCTCTTCAAATGAAGATATGCTCATTCTAAAATAAAATATCTTCTTCTGTTCTCAAACCACAGTATTTTCGATTGAAATAGTTCCCATCAGCTTTCATTGTCGTACTAAATCAATGGACCCAAAATCTTTTTCAAAATCAAAACCTTTTCTGCTATATCTTTTTAACAATATCAAAACACTTCCAATACAGCTGACTAATGTTGAAGGCTTGGTCACCTTAACCAAAGCTTTGCCGCACGAAATCGCATCGCAGCAATTCGCATCACATCATAGTTCTGTGTGGGATCCGTCCGATAGATTATCGAAAAAAATATTTTGTCAATCAACCAAAAACCGACAAAAATAAAGCGCGTCAAAGTTTGGGAATCGATGCTCGAAACGTCACTCTTAAGTAAACATTTTACCAAGAAGCGACATTTTAAATAAATATATCACTGTAACGGTTTGATTGTGTGAAAACAGAAAAGCATACGAGTTCAATACTTTTTGAGAATCTATTTGATGGACGAAGAAAAAAAAAGGTAGTCATCATCCCTATTGGCAAGATGACTTGTAAGTAGGACACCTAAAAACTTGAACGTTAAAAATAAGCGAGGTTCTTCGTTATGTAGCTATGGAATTCTCACCGTTAGTGGTAACTTGTCTTGCCCTGGCCAAGTCTGCCTTGTTCCCGACCAGCACCACGGTCCTGTCAGCGGTGAACTGCTCGCGAACTAAATATGACAACAGCTCACCAGCCCTGGTAAAAATACAAATATACTAAATAAGACTAGAAAGGTAGGGCATACTGGATTTAGCGCTCGAATTGGAGCACCGGTCTGGGGAAGTAATCTCCACCTTACAGAAGACCACAGTAAAATGACACTACCTTTTTGTGTTTCTGTCGGTGAGTAAGGTTCCAGGGCTCCACGGGGTAAGGATTAGGACAGGATGAGATTGCGGAAAGAGCCCGCGAGGAACAAGCCCTTGCGGGCTCTCTCCGCAGTAAGAGGGGGAGTAGGAGAAGGGGCAAGCGTAGACCAGCGCATTTCCTGCCACCGTAATATAGGGAAGAGCCTTATTTGTTAAGCCATTAGGGAAACGACAGAAAGTGGCCGCTGGGGCACATGCTCAAAGGCCCTTCTTATACCCAAAGGTGGAGCGGGAGAGGAACGGAGAGAACTACGGTTTCCCTCCCACTCCCGCGGGAGCCGCGAGTCTGCCCTAGGGGAGGGCGGGCTTGAATTGCACAAGCTCCCTGGATGTTGATGCTCCGGGGCATCACCACCGGGTGGGGTCTGCTTGCGGACAATCACCTGCGGGCGCGCGGTGCCACGACCACATCTGCACTCTCGACACGCATTGGGGGGACCTCGGTCCTCACAATGCGTGTCGGGTGACCGGTGCAGGAGTAATGTCTAGATTTTAGTGGCCCTGTTTAGGGCGTTAGGTAGGGTCCTGTTGATTTCTTCGAGCAGGGAGAAGGCCCACATACCTTCTTCTCGCTCCCCCGGTGGTTGAATGATTTGTAAGGCATTTCCGTGACAAAAAAAAGGGATTGGGTCAGGATACGCAACGGCACGAGCGATATTTATGGTTTTGCAAGCGTCTTTAGGCTATGGTGGCCGCTTACAATTAGGCGGGCTATTTTCTTGGTTGACACCCTTTTAATATAGCGATAAACCGTTACAAATTATCAGCAAAAAAAAACAATCAGAAAGAAAATATATCAACAAACTACACAAACCTGATCAGCTCGATAGCGCAAGTGGTTAGCGCATTCGGCTGCGATCGTTGAAGTCAAGCAACTTTTGCAGTGGTCAGTCATTAGATGGATGACCAAATAATTTACTATCCCGAGCTCTTCCGTGCTTCTGAAGGCACGTTAAACTGTTGGTCCTGACTGTACCTGCAGTCGTTAGCACCTACCGATCCGCACTGGGCCTGCGTAGTATTTTATGGCTGGTCGATGATGATGACACTAACCTAATGAAGGAGCCTCTGGCCACCACCGAGTATACCACTAAGCAGGCGTGGGGCTCGTAGGTAGACAAGCAATTTTCAACCTAAAGAAAAGAAAAATATCATGTGATCAATTTGATAATAGACAAAATACATCATGGTCAAAAGTGTCGCCAGCAGATGATCACGGAGGACGTTCACCAACGTTTATAAGTATTTTTTCCCAAGAGGCGTCTCTAGCCCTTATGGCGTTCGTGATATTTTATTTTATTCAAGACAAAAAACAGTGGCACAATGCTCATTTGACAAACAGTATTGTAATACAGGTAACACTTCAAATTATTCTACGACCAACTTCTTAATCCACTAATTAGAATCTACAAAATACATATTTTCGCGCTTCTTTAAGATTTTCCGTCCAATCCAATAAATTAACAGAACATAACATTAGTAACTGAAAGTAATAACATGACCCATCAATCACACTGCTAGTTGAACTGGTAGTGTTTGTTATGACAGTGTAGTAGCTCAAGACATACAAGAGCAGTAGCGTAACTCAGCCATTTTCTTGTAATAGATACCTACGACTGAACGGAGCGCTAGGGTTGGTCCCTACAAAATGTAAAATAGATTAGTGTCGATTTTTATTGTATGTGTATAGTTACTATTGCCACGGGAATCGAAACGAAGGCAGACGGCGCGGGGGCGCGGTGCAGCTTATTAGAAAAGGCTAACATAATGATAAGTAAATAATAACATAATGATTATTATTATCAGCTAACCTACCTCGGCCATCGACCAGGCGCGGCGCGCGACGTAGCACTGCGTAGATTTGTCTTGCCAAGAATGGTTAGCGGCCGTGAAAATGATGTTTGTACGTCGATTCGGGTGCTAGTATTAAGTCAAAGTACTGCTTTTGTATGTATTGTGGTAGTAGTGTGTAATCATTAACCTAGCCTCTATTACTCGTAATGGTAGCGAGTAACGCTCGGCGCCCCATGTACAACGCACACCTTGCACCATAGGTAAAGCAGCTTCTGTACTCTTCCATTAAATAATAGCGTCATGCATCCGCCAAAATAATTATATTATCTACACTCATGACGAAATATTAAAATTACGAAATTATAAATGGTTTTATAAAGATGTACTTTATAATAGACCAAGAGCTACTGAACCCGGAAGTAACGGTCTGTCTGTAAGGCTAGAAACTCTTAAGATGATGAGTCATAGCATGCTTAGTACGGTAAGCATCGCCTGGCACTCCTCAGCCCTGCACGTCATCAAGACGTATATTTTTGAAATTGATGTGAAAGCTTACAGCAACAATTTTTTTTTATATTTTTTGACACTTCCAAAAATATACGGTTACATACATTCGGTTCGAGTCAGTTACATACATAGAAACATACAGGTGAAACTAATAAAAGCGTGTTAAAAAGAGCGCATTCGAAATTTTAAATTAATTTCTCGCGCTTCCCATACAATTTTCTGCCGATCGTGTTTTGTTGTCATGTGGATTTCAGAAAAGTTGTGCAAAATCCTTATATGTTACTTTCTTTAATTGCAATTGTTCCTATGACTGAAGATAAAGTACCTAGTGCAACTGCATATAATTTAATATTAAAACACTCGAAACAAGAGTCAACCTTGCCTCATGCGATAAACAGACTCGTGTTTTAACTCCCCTTCTCATATGACAGAAGCATATACTACTATTATTATTATCATCTTTGGAATGGATACCCTATTTGTAGATCTGTTAAAATTTTAAAAGTTATGACAAACAGTTTTAAAATTTACACTTTACATAGCCTAAACTATGGCCTAAACTGTCATAACACATTTACTCAGCCTTCAGACTCAGTTGTAACTATTATAACACTTTTAATTACAAAAATAAGCAAGTTTTCTAAACTTGTTTATAAGTTCTGATCGGCATTTTGTATTCTGTCAATTACACGAGATCGAGACAATACCACTTTTGACCGAGTAAAACTTTACTAACAAAAAAATCCGACTTCATAAAAACAAAACCACTCACAAGTAAGAAATCTAATATATAAAATTTTCGTGTCGCGGTGTTTGTGGTTAAACTCCTCCGAAACGGCTTTTCCGATTCTCATGAAATTTTGTGTGCACATTGGGTAGGTCTGAGAATCGGACAACATCTATTTTTCATCCCCCTAAATGTTAAGGATAATCCACCCTAAATTTTTTTTTTTAATTTTAGATCATTTTTTGAATTTTTTTATGATACATCATACAAAAAATACAGTCCTAAATTTTCACCCTTCTACCACCAACCCTTACTTTTTTATGGCGGTACGAAGTTCGCTGGGTCAGCTAGTAATACTATAATAATCATGAGAGAATCGTGCCAGAATCGACACCAATACCTATATTAGTGTCGATTCTGGCATGATTCTCGAAACCTAAAATTAAATTTGACAATAGTGTATCCTTGTCATTCTCTATACTCTATACAGAGTGAAAAGGGGAGACTGATCTTAAATTTATTTTTAATTTTAGAGAATAATGCCACTGGTGTCGATTCTAGCGTCATTCTCTAAACTTAAAACTAAATTTAACATCAACCTCTCCTTTTCATTCTGTATAGAATGAAAATTTTGTCAAATTTAGGTTTAGGTTTAGAGAATCATGTCAGAATTGACACCATTACATATCTTAATTATATTAAATGCCAAATGAACATTTGATGTCGGTGCCATGCCAACCCAAGCAGTAAATAGCAACTCAGCCAATAATAGTATGGCATCTAAAAATATAAATTTATTCCTCAGAGTAGAAAACCAAGCACAGACTATCTTTGCATTTGGTTAAATTTATAAGTATATTATTATAAACTCTTCGCTAAGTTATTCGTAATCATAAACTTAAGGAACACAGTCGTTAAATTAGTCCTGTGATTACGATGGCCAACAGTAAATCTCTTGAAGACACCCCGCTGCGAGCGAGGCATTACACTTAACTCGTGTTCGTGTTGCTGAAGTTTAGCATTTGAACACATAAACGTCGAACATATTTGTGCACTATGCCCCCTACAAAGCAACCTTCAGTACAAAGTCAATCAGATTTACGCATCTAGTTCTCTACAGGAACTAACTCTGTTAAAAGCGTTTACTTTAATAAAAGACGCTCTTTTAGTTATACAAAGTAGTTATTACAAAACTACTCTGACCACAGAACACAGGAAGAGGTTAGAAGGGCGATCAAAGACCGTTTGCGCACTTTTACCTAATAGATAATAGCCAATCAAACGACGCGACATAAAACAATCGAACCAATCAGCGCTCACACCTGAGCGCAACGATGCAATCAGAACCAAGTTTTGGTCAAGTTATGAGCATTTGCTCACACATAACTGTGGCGCGCCTGCCCCGCACACTAGGCCCTTCTGTGTTCTTTAACTCTGACTAAGTAAGTAAAGAATACATAAATGTTATGTTTTTATTTATTTTTAAGCATTTAACTGCTAGATGTTTAAATCTAAAGAAAAGTTTTACTAGAAAAAAAATCCACGCGGACCAGGCAGCGGACGGTACTCGAACCCGCACCCTTCGACTGACAACCTGACATTGTGGGCTACCTACAATGCGAAGAGATGGCGCTGCCTTGCAGCTTAAGGCTAGGAAAATTTTGACGCGGCCATCAGGGCTGTGGTAGCATAATTGGTCGGTGCATTCGCCCGGATTGCGAAGGGTGCGGGTTCGAGTCCCGTCCGCTGCCTGGTCCGCGTGGATTTTTTTCTAGTAAAACTTTTCTTTAGATTTATGCATAAATGTGTTATGTTATGCTGCGTTTCCACCTAATGCTTGGAACAGTTCCCAGCGAGCAAACATCTGTTCACTCGATAAATGGAATGTTCAGAACAATGTTGAGTTGTTTCCATTGACGACTGAGCAAGGGAGCATTTGTTCCTTGAGCCCTGTCAAACATCGTTGTACAAACTCGTTCGCTGGCTCTAATGTTCCAATTTACCGAACGAGCAAATGTTTGCTCGTTCAGAACTGTTCACAGCTATAATAATATGTGGAACTGTAGCATTATATAAAGTAATCTGACTAGCAACTTGCAATAATCTTTATTTTATTGTATTTCTTCGGAAAACTTACAGCTATTATTTATACATGATATCTAATTTGGTTATCTACTAGCCAATAAGAAGTTTTCACATATAAGATTCATTATCAAGGTCTTTCAACATTCACATAAGAAGTTTTTTTTATAGATATATCCGACAAATGACTTCACCCCACCTGATGTTAAATGACGGTGAAGTCCATGTACAGCAGTTCTACCTGCCACACTAGCTCCTCCTCACTTTGCCGGCCTGCGTGTTGCTTCTTCACGCCTATTTGAACAGATCCCAGGTTGTAAGAAGGAGGGATCACGTGAGCAGGTAGAGCATTCCATTTTCAGATAGTGCGACAACGAAATGAGCAACCAAATTTCTTTGTACGTGTTGGAATTGTGGCCTAAGTTAGACGGCGAAGAATTGGCAATTTTGCTTTTAATTTATCGTATTTAATGTAGCGGATTCCTAGGTGCCGTGCCTATTTATATGAACTAGCAGTCAAGTTGCTTTTTTTCTGGTAAATAATCACTTTAGATTGTTTAAAACAGAATTTATCACTTACCGACATTTCAGTACTGGGATGGTCTATGAATATGAGCTCGGACTCCTCCCCGTCGAGTAACACAGACACGGATTTCTCACCGAACTCATCGTCTGAAACAAAAACAAAGTGTGTAGACATAGACACGATTAGAACGAACAAAAAAACTTGGAAAATATTAGATACTTTTTAGCTCATGGACATATTATTCGTCTAAGCTTTAGATTCTTTTTTTTTAATAGTAGGTGTATAAAATGTTCAAGTTGCCTCAGGTATCATATCTCATTGGATGTGTTAACACTATGAAAACTTATAGCTCTCATAAAATAATTCGCTTTGTTTCTTTGGGACATATTTACCTTTTTTCTATTAGGGTAAGAATGGCAAACAAGCTTATGGCCCGTCTGATGGTAAACGGCCACCATAGCTTATAGACGCTTGCGATATCAAAAATACCACTCGCACCTATGCCTATCCTTACCCAATCCACAGGCTAGGCCGTGGAGTCCTAGTACCTTACACACCGACAGAAACACAACACTACCAATAGTATTATTTATGTGACAACAACAAGCGCTCCAATTACCGGATAATCTGCTATACTCCAAATCTCTTAATGATGCAATGCTTTATGCAGTGCCGTCTTTAACCTATTGGAGACCCTGAGCATATTAGGATAATGGGGCCCCTATGACCCCTGTTTGGTGATTTAACAGGAACTAGGGACTTTGTATTTGATCTGAGGGGGGGCCCTATCGATCGCGGGGCCCTGGGCACTTGCCCAAAGAGCCCACTGGGAAAGAGGGGTCTGGCTTTATGCAGAATGAAAAAGAGTTGTTTTTTCTTTTCTAATAGAATATTAACGGTTTTTCTTTCATTATCTGCTTAAACATTACTGCTACAATCTAAGTACGAAGATGATTAGTAAATAACTTCTAGACAAACTTTAGCGACGACAAAACGTAACCACATCTGTAGGACTCAGAACAAATTAGTGGAGGGCCTTCCTAATCCCTCGCTCCATATGCCTGTCATAACTTTTCCGACTGTTCGTGATAAATGTAGCTAAATTAACAGAATATAATATACATACATATACATAAAGATATATGTACACTAGTAAATTCAAGGACTGTGAACTTTTACAAATTAGGATATAACTTTTCAGACGACATCACATACTTATTGTGCAAAGAGACAACATAACAAAAATGTTATATGTACTCGTGTAATATTTCATGCAAGTGCAGACAAACATGTGGTTCATTTATGTATGTGCTATATATATAGAAAATCGTATAATATGTAGGGTCGAGTGGGGGACAGTGTGAAAAAGGGCACAGTGTAACAAGGAATATCTCTTACCTCTCTCTTCTCTAACCTTTTCTTATTATTCTATGGTCTGTCTTGAAGTGTTTTCTTAGTGTCATAAAATGGCTGGGTATAATACAGAGATATTCTTTATGTTACACTGTGCCCCTTGTTACACTATCCCCCAGTTGACCCTATAATTTTTTTCTTAACATATTGAAGTTTTAAAATAAACATAAATTATGTAACTACATCGTCATCATCAACCTATGAATGTCCCTACTGCTGAAGCATAGGCTTTTCCTGTGGATGTAATAGAGAGGTTGAACCACGACATGAGTCTAGTGCAGATGTTTAGGTGCTTACCACTTCCGATACAGCTATGACCAATGGCATACTATGCCTTTCGGAGCACGGTGGAGCTTCGGATATTAAATATTGGGTCACCCATCGTAAAACTAGTCATTGCGAAAATTGCTTAGCTTTCACAATCTCAGACAGAACGCGCTTACTACTACGCCATCAAACTCCTGCTTTTACCGATTCTCGAAATAACTGCAATACTTATGCAAAAAATTCAGGTCTCTCTTTCGATTCTATAGAATAAATTCACAGTATTACAAGGGGCACTGTGTAACAAAAAGCATATATTTGTATTAGCCCGGCCATTTGACATCTGATGACAGCTGCTAAAGATGGCGGAATATGAAATTAATAAAACACGTCAAGAAAGACCAACGAAAAATAGGAAAAGGGGAGAGATATTATGTATGTTACACTATGCCCTTTGTTACACTATCCCCCAATTGACCCAACACATAAGCTTACGTCAAGTATTTCTATGACATATTCTATTGCAATAATCCATATGAATAGAAATAATGTTTCTTGTTTACAGCCCCAACACAGTTTTAAGATTATTTTTTAATTTTATATTACCGTTTAGATAAAAATATGCTAGTAAAAATTCCACGCGGACCAGGCAGCAGACGGGACTCAAACCCGCACCCTTCGCTATCCGGGCGAATGCACTGACCATTATGCTACCGCGGCCCTGATGGCCGTGTCGAATTCTTTCTAGTGTTTCTAAAACTGCAAGGCAGCGCCATCTCTTCGCATTGTAGGTAATCCACAATGTCAAATGAATACCTTTAAAAGTATTAAACATTTGAAAGAAGACATAGCAATTATTGTTATCTTTTTCTATTTTTTAAGCATTTTACTGTAGGTAGAGGTTTTAAATTACTAATTTAAAATTAGACACAAAAAGATTATCTTCAAACTACTTCAAACATTAATAGAAATAAAAAAAAAACAAAATAAACAAGCTGGGATCAGGAAATGCGTGCAGTGCGTTAACTACAGAAAATACTGGTGTCGATTCTGGCATGATTAAAAAAAACCTAAACTTTAATTTGACAATATGTAGTGTATCCTTGTCATTCTCTATACGCAATGAAAATGAGAGACTGATGTTATATTTATTTTTGAAATGTAGAGAATCCTGCCAGAATCGACATCATTTTTGTACTAGTTATAATGTTTACACAGAAAAAATATTTATATTAAATAAATTTTTACCCAGTATCCAAATAATAATTTGTTCATATTACAACAAAAATAGCTAGGGGGAAAACCGGACAGACATGCCCAGGTGGGAGAAATGAACCATCTTTCAAAATTGTATGTAAAGCATAAACAAAACGTCAATTCGTTCATTAGTTACATGCGAGACATTCGTTTGTTTTTAATTGTATTATGTACATGATCATATTAATTGCGGTATTGGTGAGCGTTCTTCAAAAACGTATGAACGAAAAAGTTTTCGGATAACCTTTCTGACTATAATTTATAGCGTTGGGTCATCTAAATTCAACGAGTTTCTTCCCATTTATCGAGATTAACTTCAAGCAAATATTTTCTATGTTAGGGATTTTGGTTTTGTATTTATTTTAAAAAAATATAATAGTTATAATGACGGGGTAAAGTAAACGAAATTGTATTTTATCAGTCAGTTAGTTTATCAAAACAATATTGTCAATTTTATTTTAAGTTTTTTAAGCATATAACTGCTAAATATTTATGGCTAAAGATAATTTTACTAGATTTTTTTTATTTTGTCACTCAACCAAAAAATTACAAAGCTAAATCACGTCAAAGTTTGGGAGAGGGGCTCGTGGCAACACTTCTAAGTAAAAAATGTACCAAGGTGTGACGTCATGCGACATTTTATATCAATATATCTCGGTAATGTTTTGATTATATGAATAAAGAAAAAATACATGTCCAAGACTTTTCGATGAATACCTGATAGACGAAGAATAAAAAGTTAGTCATCCCCATAGAGCCTCAATTAAACAAATACAAATCCAAAAAAAAAAACAGCTGTCATTTATTTAACAGCCGTCATTTATTTTTTAGTTTTTCGTAGTCTTGAGAAGGAACCCTTATAGTTTCGTCATGTTCATCTGTCCGTCCCGGGTTTTGCTTGGACACTATCGAACACGTCGACAAAATAGTAAAATAATATTTTTTTAATAATATTTTTATGGTAGCTCCCCTACATGTAACCTGGGGATGAAATTTTTTTCGTCATCTACCCCATCATGTGCGATATCATCGAATAGGTATTTAAAATTACTAAGGGGTTCTTAAGTCTTTTTTTCTATTTAGGGATCCGTTTGCGAAATATTTAACTTTAAAGTGCTTTTTTATATTACGAGTTAGTACCTAATAATGATGTTACGTTTCATGACTAGAATTATTGAAACGATCGTTAGTAAAACAGGATCGTATACTTATAAAATTAAGTTATATTTTTATTCAGATTAATCTTGTTGATGTTTCAATTATAATATTTCAATATTTACACGTACCACATACACAATTTCTCAAGACACACACGTAAAAAGCGAAAGAAAATAGGCAGGTTTGGCTAATGCAAACTTAGTCAACACAGGGTAATAAGGGTAGGTCCACACTGCACGCGCGAGCGCGTCCGACCGCGCGTTGCAGCGGCACCCGTGAAACTTACCACGTTTTGCTTCGCCATACGTGAGCAAGCAAAAAGAAATTTCGTTATTTACAAAGGAGTTAGCGTTAGCCAGCCAAACGCTTATTAAAACTAAGGTTATCACTTGTTCGGTGAGCGGAAGCGGAATCATACATATACTATTTAGTATAGGATTAAGTACAAAATAATTGTGATTATTTCCAAGGCACACATTCGGATTTAGTTTTGCCATGTAATAAAAACTCTAGTTATAAATGCATTTGTGAGTTTTCACACCAAACGTATTAATCGAAATTTAAAAAGACAAATGAAAAATTACTTTTAATATTATCCTATTTATAGTTCTTACATTATCAATCATAGACCATAAATTTAGATGAATATTTTAGTTATAAAACTTATATAGTAAAATCTCAAATATATTGTGACCCGCTCCCGCTTACTTTAATCACTAAAGTCGAAGCGCTACAACAGCCCGAAGCGTTAGTGTAATCTACTTTATTTTTTGTGTTTATCCCCCTACGCTGTTTATATAGGAATACGGTATATCGCTACCAATCTGGGGTGCCTTGTTCAATCCTGGCTAAACTGTTAAATATTTTACGAGCCTCTCTTTGTATAGTAACACACTTTATGGTGATAGAAAACTTGCTAAGCTATTTGTTAAAGGGAGCGAAAAGGAATAAAGGTATGATTCTACGAATAAAGTTGTAGGACTCAAACGTTGTTAGAATTATTATTAAAACTAGTTGATTTCTCATCGATTTGAATTCGAGGACAAAGAAATAA